GGCAGGTCCCCAGCTCCCCCAGACCCTCTCAGGGCTCGAGTGAGGCTGAGTGCTGAGTATCGAGCCTGGCCTTCTCTGGTCTCCAGGGGAAAGGGCAGCTGCTGGCCCCACCTGCTGCCTCTGCCCTGCTCTGGAACTTCTGCTCAGAGTAAGAGTCTGAGGTCTCCTGCCTCTGCCTAAAACCCAGTGACACCCGTGGGACTTCACATGGAAACCACGTACTTCTCATGCTTCCTGAGCCCCAGACCCCACCCACCCCACCCCACCAGCCCCAGCTCCTCCAACTGGCACCACCACTTTTCTCTGTGCTGTTGGCCTGCACTTTTTGACTTGAGGAAATTTCAATTGGAAGAAAAAAAGTTTTTTCCCCCCCTTTGGTGTTTTGAGACAAGGTCTCACCATGTAGTTCAAACTGGACTTGAACTAATTATTGTAGCCCAGCCTGTCCTCAAACTAATGGTATAATCCCCCTGCCTCAGCCTCCCAAGTGCCAGGATTACAGCTGGAGATTTAGCTCAGTGGTTCTGCAACTTGCCTCACAAGCTCAAGGTCCTGAGTTCGATCCCTGGTACCAAAACAAAAACAAAGTGCCAGAATTATATACACCACCAAGCTGGGTCTAGTTAGAAGAAATTGAGAGTTTTACTCAGTCTTTACAGACTATAACAGAAGAAAGACATTCTGTGTGTTGCCAGAAACTGAACCTGGGGTGGGGTGTTACCTAAACTAGGTGAGCACTCTACCACTGAGCTATACCCCTAGCCCTTATCTTTATTTTGTTTTGGTTTGGTTTTTTGAGGCAGCATCTTGCTATGTAATTCAGGCTGGCCTTGAACTTGTGATCCTCCTGTTTCAGCCTCCCAATCAGCTGGGACTACAACCATATGCCACTGTGCTCAGCTAGGGCTTTCTGAATATATAGCAAAATGCAGTAAAAAGAAAAGAAAAAGAAGGCAGCTTTACCCCCACAAAAGGTACTGTCCTCTTAGCTGACCCTCCTTCTCCCATGGCCCTACCCTTTATTCCGCACGGCCCTTGGCTTTCAGGCTGTCTGGTATCCTGCTCCCTCAGCACCAGGCTCAGACCCACGGAACCAGAGGCTTGGGATCAGCAGGCCAGTGACCCGGGCGGGGAGATAGGCTGTCAGGAGCCTTTGCTCCAACTCAGGCTCCTCCCCACGAACCAGTTTTGGGTGCCCTTCCCCAGCAGGGGTCTCAGAGCAGTCCTTCCGTCTAGGCTCCAGGCTTGTGAGGGGCTGAACTCCAGGCTCCTTCCACAGCTGACCATAGGCGCCCCCAGAGTGATCAGCTCCATAAACAGCAGCCACCACGTCTGTTACGTTCCTGCCATGCACTTCCCGAGTGTGGCCCACAACCTGGCACAGAGCCGGCTCTGACCAACGTGCACTGTCGCTTGCGGTGCAAAGGGTACTTACTAAGCTCTTCACTGACTACAGAAAGCCCTGTAAACAACCGCGTCTCTGAACGCAGCCTTAGGAATTCCCAGCTTGCCTCTGGCCAGCCCTCACCTTGCTGGGTCCTTTCCTCTCCCCTCCTCCTAGGCAGGTGCCCGCCCCTGCCCTCCCTGCTCCGAGATCTCGGGGCCCTCCTAGCTTCAGTCCTCAACTCGCAGCCTGGCAGTCAAGCATCTCCTGTCCCTTTCTCCCGGGACTAAGACCCCGACTCTTCTAACCTGCCCCTGGGACACAGGATGCTGGCTCCCGGGTGCCTCTGATAGACCTGTACGCCCTAAGATCACTTTCCCTACCTTTACCAACGGAAGAGACTAAGAGGAGACAGACGCTGGGTCTTGGACCAAAGCCATTTGCTTACACCACAGGGCCCACAGCCCTGTCGGCGTTCCCGGCCCCTCAAGGGAGCTACGCGGTCCACGGGAAAGGGCGACCCCTGGTGGCGAAGAGGAGGTGGCGCCTGGCTCATTCCCAGGACCCCCAGGCAGGCAGAGGAAGGGGCGTGGCCCCAGGACCGGCCCTTAATTATCCGGAAGGTGATAAAGCTCCTTGGGGAGGGACGGACAACCGTGGCTGCTCCAAGCCATTCCTTGTAATGACCTGGTGGCAGTGCCCTGCGACTTTAACTGCACCGGGTCGGCTGGATCTTCAGGAAGCAGGGACAGCCTTTAAGTGGCTTTTTGGCACTAGCTTTTGCCATCAGGGGTCTGGTGCACAGCTGGCATTCTATTAATATTTCCAGGCCTGCCACGTCCTGCAGGCCAGCGCCGCCTACAGAATGGCTGTGCCCGTCAAAAGCCGCCTCTTGTAGGAGCCCAGATCCGGTCCAGGTCTCAGGACTGTGGGGAAGAAGTCACTCAGCACCATCCTCCTACACCCAGTGATGAATGACTGCCTCCAACGCTCAAGAAAAACCTCTCTAGTCAAAGGCCTCTTAGATAAAGTACCGCAGGCCTCTTCTGTGGCCTTTTCTATAGCCAGGCTCCTACCGAAATGGATGTTTCCAGTGAAATCAGGAAACGGGGTGAAGGAGTGGAGGTTTTTCTTTGTCCCCTTGTTACAGAACACCAGAACCAGGAAACAGATGGCACCCAGAGGTTTGGAGGTAGTAAACAGCTTTATTTACACCAGTGAACCTGACCTGCATCTTTCCCCAAAGAAAGAGCTCAGGCCCAGAATATCGGCAGGCCAGCAGTTTTATAGGGTTGCAAGAGGTACAGAAGTAGAAGCAGAGTACTTGGCAGTCTTTGGTTGGTTATTTGACATTTTTTTGCATCTGTGAGGCTTAATTCCATTGGCATTTCCCTGGGAATACAGCAAGTAGAGTTTACACAAAGCAGAGCAGGACTTTCTGAGTAGGTTACGTTCCTTTGGTGACAGATTACAGCAGTTGTCATGGCTACTCAGGTACATTCTACAAAGAGCATAGTTGTTTTTTGTATATCTGTCTGCCTAGAAATTCACCCAACCCCAAAGTACTAGGGATTGAACCAAGGTTCTTCTCACTAAGCTACATCCTCTGCCCTTTTTTATGTTTTCTTTTGAGACAGGTTTCACTAAATTGTCCAAGCTGGGCTCAGACTTGCATCCTCCTGCCTCAACCTTCCAGAGTGCTGGAATTATAGGCATGTGCTATCACTCCCTGCTAAAAGAGTAGAATTTTTTAAAATAATGTTTTTTTTGTTTTGTTTTGTTTGTTTTTTTGTACCAGAGTTCTGACTCAAGCCCTTGCACTTTCAAGGCAGGCAGCAGAAACACTGAGTCATATCCCCTGCCCTAAAATAATGGTTCTTTTGAAGAAGTACTTTAAAACAAAGACTCCAAAATACACTACTTTCATAAGTGAGGATGTTATTTGTTAGATGTTTACAAACATTTTTGTTTTTTAAGCATTGAAGGCTTTGAACCCAACCTGGGCAATTTAATGACTTATTGAAATCCTGTCTCAAAAAGAAAAGGGCTGGAGATGTAGCTCAGTGGTGAGGCCCTGGGTTCAATTCCCAGTTATTGTTGTTCTTAAGTTTTTGTTTCTTGAGGCAGGGTCTCACTAGGTGCTCTGTAGTTCAGGCTGACCTTGAACTAACTATGTAGCCCAGGTGGACCTAAAACTCACCTGCCTCAGCCTCTCAAATGCTGGAAGAAGTAAGCAAGTTAACTAACTCACCCCACCCAATAGCCTTCACCTAAACTTCACCTCTTTCCCTTCCCAGACTGCTTGTTCAAAGTGATAAGTTAACCAGCACATAGCTTACCTTGTGGTTAAGAACAAAGGACAGGATATGTTATACTATGGCCCTAACCATAAAGATAGGAATTTCCTGCTGGATCCCCAAAATTGGATTTTAATCTAACTTGCAATATGCTTCTGTTATCTTGCTCAAAGATGAGATCAACTCATTCTATTGTGTGTGTGTGTGTGTGTGTGTGTGGTTTCTTTTTCTTTAAAAACAACTTCTCTGCTTGATCGGTACCAAAGGGAGTTAAAAGAGGGAGTTCACCTTTGGTTCCTGGCTATAAAGGACTCTTTTTTTTGTACCAGAGATCAAACTCAGGACCTTGTTCTTGCAAGGTATAAAGGACTTTTAATTTGGGCATTTTTCACAGTGTGATTCTTTTCACTGAAATGGCTATAACAGAAGAAAGAAGAAAAGAAAGAAGAAGAGAAAAGCCAGAAACTGAGGCAATGCCTGTCCTCAAGTTTCTGAGCTACTTATCTCTGGTCTCCAGAGGCAGTAAGTTACCAACAAAATACTGATTGTCTTAAGCTTTTGTAAATAAGGAGAGGAAGAGGGATGGGGGATGGGAAAAAAAGAAGCAAGATATATTATGTACAGGTACAAATTCCCTATGATGAATTTTATCTTAATATCGAAAATGTACAAATGTTTTACAAAAAAATAAATAAATAAATAAATAAAACACTGATTAACAGAAAGACAGAAAAACAAGTCTTGGAGACCATTCCAGGTAGAAATAAGCTTAGGAACCCACCTGACCAGTTAATAAGAACTTCACCCCTGCTACCAAGAGAATGTGGACAATCTACTTGGAATAGTCCTTCTGGAGTTGTTTCTAATTGTCTCAAGATTAACTGGAACATGCTGGGTTTGGTGGTGCTCACCTGTGACCCCAGCACTTGGGAGGCTGAGATAGAAGGATCACCACGAATTTCCTTGAGGTACACAGTGAGTTTAAGGCCAGCCTGAACTATACAGCAAGACCCTGTCTAAAAACAAACACAAAGATTAAATGGAATATTTCTAGGAAGTAACTGATCACCATCCAACTGCGTAAGACTGACATCTCACTAACATTACAGGGTCACATTATGCCTTTGAAGATTATCTCTCTACCTACCTGGCCCATAGCAACATATATGTCCAGGTCTGAAAGTGTAAAAGCTGAAAACAGGGTTGGAGTCAGAAAGTCCAATGTGTTCCTGGCCACTGTGGTGTCACTGTTCCTGATACAGGTGAAACCCGAGTCCCCACTTGGGAGCCAGAAATCAGCTGAGATGAGGCCTCAGGAGAGAGGCTGCCCTGGCCTCAGAGGGTGGATGAAGTGGGGCCTGGGAGCAGCTCAACCCACCCCGCAGGCTGACTGGCACTGAAGGGTCTGGGTAAGTCCTTTTTGCAGCACCTCAGGGACTCCTCCGGCAACCTGGGAAATTAGGGTGAGAGTTGTGGCAAGAATGTGACTCTGTGTTGTGAGCAGAGAGCTTTGAGAGAGAGGATTTTGCAAGAGATCACCCTGGTTATTACCTCCAGGAAGCCCATCATCCTTCACCTTGCCTCTGCCGCATAACACTGATGCCTGGGCGCAGGGCTGCAATATCCGAGTCCTACATCAGAGGACATGGAGGACCCCGTCCCTGAGAATCTCCAGGCCACACAAAGACCCTGATAAATCTAGTCCTGCCTCAGGAGCTGGGTTGCTATTCCAAGATGGGAGTTTGCCCATGGAGATAGAGTTAGGATCTGGGAGGCACCCTTGGGTCCCTACTGACAGTAGGCCCAAGTCCCCACCCACCATTCCCTCCCTTGCAGCGCCCCAGGCCTGGAGAACTGGGCGGGGCTAAAATCGCGGAAGAAATCTCGGATCTGCGACCCCGGGGTCCAGTAGTGTGTCCAGGGAAAGGAGCCAGGCCTGACAGCCCGCCAGATTCTACGCAGCAGGGAAACCTCAACTAGCTCCGGGGATCCCACCGCTCCAGACACCGCTTCTCCTAGACAACCTCACCTGAGGCCACACCCCCACCGCCTACTGCCTGCTGGGACTTGTAGTCCATAGGAGCGAGCCAGACGCCCGATGTGCCCGCATGTGTGCGTGTGCTTGTGTGTGTGCCCGTATGCTCGGGTCCGCGGTGGTGTTTCTGACCCTCTGACCTCTCCCCGGAGAGCCCTGTGGACCCAAGTTTAGCCGGCGGGTCGCAGTCTGCCGCTCCGGGGGTTCCACCGCCTCCGGCTGCGGGCTAGGATTTGTAGACCGGAGGGGCGGGGCCAGAATGCCCTGGGCGCTTGCTTGTTTGAAGGTGCGTGCTGGGATTTGTAGTTCATAGGTGCTCGGTCCTCTTTTTCCCGCGAGCCCTGCTTCTGGCCCGTGAGCAAACTACTGCGGGGCTCTTTCAGGCAGAGCGGCAGTGTGCTCTCCGGTGCCTGTAGGCCCAGTCTCTACATGGACAAACTGAGGCACCAAGAAGGGCGCGCCCCTTGTCAACTGAGGACTCGGCCTGGGTGTTTCAGCCTGGGCCTGTCTGACAAACCTGAACAAAGATTTAAGGTCCTTTTGGTTCTTAAGAATCTATGATCAGTTGTGCCTCAGAATTACACTATGAACAAGACTTGCTGCACGGTTAAGGCTGCTTTACACACACACACACACACACACACACACACACACACACCATAAAGATTTCTGTTAGGCAGTTTAAAGTATGCACTCAAAGAAAATAGTGTGGACTATCAAGAAAGTGGCACCAATAAAAATCTTTATTTGTTTTTGGCTCCCCACCCCGCTACTGGGGATCAAACTCAGGACCTCCCACTGCACCACTGAGCTAAATTCCCACCCTATTTTTGGCTTTTTTGACAGTCTCACTATGCTGTCCCGGTGGCCTTAAATTCACTCTATAGCCCAGGCTGGCCTCAAACTTGCCGTAATCCTATCTCGGCCTCCTGGTAAATCTTTATTTGACAAATATGTCAGTTCTATGGAGGGGCTCCTGTGGAGGAAGTCTGCAGTAACAAAGAAAACATATGGACAACTCTGTCTCACATTTAGCTTCAAGAATCAAAATTGCACTGGGGGGTGGGGTGGGATATTTAGGAAACCCTAAAACCCACGGGGGTGGGGGGTTGTGCCCCAGAGCCTCACTTTAAAGGGGAAAGCACATTACCATAGTTGGGGGGGCTGAGGACAGGTACCAAGGACTTTACACTTTATCAGTGGGGTGCAAATGTGTTTGTTGACAGCTTTATTGAAATTTGAGCCATACACTGTCAAATTCACCCATTCTGTCTGTAAAATTCAGTATTTTAGTCTATTCACAGAATTGTGCAACCATTACTGCCATCTAACTTTGGGATGTTTTCATCACCCCGACCTCACTAGCACTCATTTCTCCCCAGACCCCAAAATCCTTTCCATCCCTGGGTGACCACTATTTTACTTTCTCCATAGCTTTCATATATATGAAATCATGATACGTGGGCTTGGTGTCTAGCACAAGTAGCACAATATTTTTCAAGTAGCACATCTAGGTATTTGGTGGGGGTACCGGGGATAGAACTCAGGACCTTGTACTTGCCAGGCAGGCACTATGCTGCTAAACTTAATCCCCATCCCTCATCTAGGTTTCAGTAAATATCAGTACTCCGTACTATTTTTGCAACTTATTGGAAGTCTATAATCTTTTTTCCCCATTATATAATTGTTTTTAAATGAGGCTTATTTTTTTTTTTTAAGCAAGATGTAACTCCTTGCATAGAAGGGACTCACCCTGGCACTAACCTTCAATGCTGAGAGCAGATGGGCTCGGGAAGAAAGGATGGCTAGGAGAGGAGGCGTGGATGCCTGTCGGCTCTCCACCCATCCTCTGCCACTTGCTAAGTTGTTTTGACCTCACTTTGCCTCTGTTTCCTGATGTAACATGAGGATAATAAGAGGATCTATCTATCTATTTATTTATTTATTTTTGGTTCTTTGAGACAGGGCCTCACTATGTAATTTGGGCTAGCTTTGAGGTCACTATGTAACCCAGATAGCCTCAAATTTGGAGCTATTCTCCTGCCTCAGCCTCCTCAGTGCTGCGATTACAGGTGTGCACCACCATGCCCAGCTGAGGATCTACCTTAGAGAGTAAATGGGAGGATTAAGATAGTCATACAGGGATAGCACCCAGCATATAGTGCCAGCACTCAAAAGTGTCAGGTGTTATCTGACCTAACGGTGTTGGTGGTGTTGGGGACTGGTGGGGTTCTGGCTGGAAAGGGGTGTGCCTGTCCTGTGTGACCCCTTGGGGACCACTCATCCTGCCCCAGTCATACAGTGCCCTCTCATGCTCCTCCTGTACTCTGGATAGTCCCACTTTCCTAAGGGGTCACTAAGAAAGTGTAGAATGTCACTTTCCTGGTTGCTTTTGAGCACCAGCAGTGACTTAAGCAAAACCAAACAAAACTTTCTGAATCTTGGGTGTTATTCAGAAAATGTGGACATCTAGACCCCCCAGCCATTCCTAGGGGCTTGTGAGATAATTTTTAAAAATTCACTTGCAGACCGGGTGTGGTGGCACATGCCTGTAATCCCAGCACTTGGGAGGCTGAGGCAGGAGGATCGCTGTGAGTTCGAGACCAGCCTGTGCTACATAGTGAGTTCTAGGGCAGTCTGAACTACATAGTGAGACCCTCTCTCAAAAGAAAGAAATGAAAAATTCACTTGCAGGTCAAGTGTAAGGGCTAGAAGTAACAGCTCTGTTATTCCAGGAAATTCTCTTCCCTGAAAATCAGCCTTGAGCCTGGGTCCATGGACACAGAGGCTGAGAGCTGGCCATCGCAGGCAGCCACAGAGCTCACACAGCCACACCCAGACAGCAGTGTAGAGGCCTCTCCTGGTTCCCTTCAGCCAAATGTTCATCCTGGAAATAGGAGCTTGTGAATTATAACAGTACTAGCACCTTGCACGTGTCTAAGCCTTCATTCTCTTCAAAGATTCCCCCACAGGACATCCCAAAGAAGGGGCTGGAGTTCTGTCCCTGCTTCCAGGGAAGCAGGCTGTGGCTCAGAGATTTAAGGCTTAAGTGATCTCCCAAGGCTGCAGAGGTCGGGCAACACTAGGATGTGGGATGTGTTCTGTCCAATCTGCTAATACAGCCAGTAAGAACTGTGCGTGTCTATCACCTGCCAGGTGCTACGCAGGGTGCTAGGGTTGTGGGGAGGACTCCATGTGGTCCCTGGTACTAACAGTGAGGTAGGGGAGGCACAGATGACAGATGTTAAACCGCAGCGGGAGCTTCCAGGATGGCAGCAAGTGTTTTATGCCTTGGGGATGCATGTGACACAGGTGTTGCATCTGTGAGAACTACCAAACTATACATATGAGTTGTGCATTTCACTGAAAATTTATTTTGCCTAAAAAATGTAAAGAATGCGCATGCTCTGGGAGGACTGTGTCTAGCAGAGTCCTGGGAGGCCCAGTTGTCTGGAAGAGGCCCAAGCACTAACGGGTTGGCCATGGAAAACCCAAACTTGTTCACAGGGTGTGGCTGTGGACCAGGAACCCTGTGAGTTGAGGTCCAGAGCACCAGGGAGCGCCAAGGAGGGTGTTTCAGTGGAGGGACTTTCAAGCCAAGGCTGCAGGGTGAGCAGAGGATCAAAACAGGATGGGTCGTCTCTGAGATGGGGTACAGCCAGGGTTTGAGTTGTTTCAAAGCCATCCGTGGCCTCAGAGAAACTCACGCTGCTAGGCTTTGCAAGGCTGCTTCCCAAAAGCTCAGGAGGCTGAGGCAGGAGGATCATTGGGAGTTCAAGGCCAGCCTGACCTGCAAATAAGACCCTGTTTCCAAAAAAAAAAGCCCTGCTTCCCAAGAAATGTAAAAGGCCTCTTATCACAGTATCAAGAGGCCTTGACATGATGTTGAAGTTATCCGCTAACATCTTGCATAGGTTTCCCCGTAGCCTTCAACACATTTCCCGAAAGCCCAGCTTCTTGGTGCAGATACAGGATGGCCCAGTTTCTTCTGAATGAAGAGAAGAGTGAGCCTTCAGGGAATTCCTCACCACCCCAATCCCTGCTTTTTTTTTTTTTTTTTTAATAATGTCTCACTGTGTAGTTCAAGCTGGCCTCAAGTTTTCGGTGATCCTCCTGCCTCAGCCTCCCCAAGTGCTGGGATTACAGGTGTGTGCCACCATGACCAGCCAAATTCTTCATTATATTAAGCAGGAATGACGGTGGGAGATTAAGAGGACTACAGCTCAAGGGTAAAGCACCAAGCACGCAATAGGCACTCAAGGAACGGCAGCTGCGGGTAGCAGGATTGAGGCCCAGGACCTGGGGCTGAGTGGGAAGTGGACTCAGCTCGTCTGTGCTCAGTTCTCCAAGAGCCACACCCACGGCCCCGAGGCTAGGAGTCTTGGTACCCAGGTAGCTGCAGGGGTCGAGCTCTGAAAACAGGCTAGTCCGGGCGCCTCAGCAGGCTGGGCGGCTTCTCCCTGTGATTCACCGCCTCGGAGCGGGAGGAGGCTGTGGGCGAAGGTAGTGCGTGTCCTTCGGGGATTGGCCACGGCAACCCCTCTGTGGGTCGGGGTCGGG